GCTCTCTCCCTCTCTCTCTCCCCCTCTCTCTCCCTCTCTCTCTCTCTCTCTCTCTCTCTCTCTCGCTCGCTCGCTCGCTCGCTCGCTCGCTCATTAAATCCACAAGCCCGAAACCCAAACCTTGAACCCTAGAGCCGCGAGAAACCTCCGAGCCCTGGTCTTCGAAGCCCAGAATACGTAAGCTACCAGCTTACCACGGGCCCCAAACCTGTAATGTAGGGCGGAATAGGNNTAGGGTTTTCGGGGTTCCTTTAAAGGGGTTCCTTTAAGGGTTCCTTAAAGGATTCCATAAGGGCTACTATAAAGCTTTAGGGTGTAGGGGCCTTAATAACTGGAATAGGGTTTTGGGGTGTATTATACTATAATTTGTATAATAGGGAACCCCCCCAAAAAATATAATAGGTAATTATTTAGGCTTCTGGACTGTGCCATTTAAGGACACACACAAGGAACTCACAGAAAGGATCTCGCGACATGTTGATCCTGACAAAACCTAAGCCATAATTGAAACAAGCTTTGGCCAAAGCTGATAAGGCCCTCAAAAAGCCGGATGTCCGTAAGATTTAGGGCTACTATTTCGGGTGTCAGGTTTTTGAATTGAAACCTGAAGACATGCAGGACCACAACAAACCGAACTCTATAAATCCAAAATCATGCAGCAGTTACAGCAAACACAACACGAAACACATACACAACTCATTGAGACAAGAAGACGCGTGTGCGGAAATCCCTTGCTGAAATCACTACTTGCCGTCTGCGGAACGCCCTCGCCGAGCGCAGCCCATGGAACTGTGCACTGTCGCCGGGTATTCTCCGGACAGCATGCCTGCTCGAATGGGGTCGATGTTTGTTTTGAATATTTTTGTCCATGTACAGTCCATGCCAGTCGGAAATACTTGGACCATGAAACAACAGTACCTTAAGGTCAAAGTACTTTCTAGGTGCCTGGACCCTGACTTTTAACCTACTCTGTGTAGGTTATCATAAACCCGTATATAGGTCGTTGTCTAAATTGGGGTCCCTGTTTAGGCCCCCCAAATAGTACGGCCCCCCGCCAAAAGCGGATCCCAAAAGAGATCCTAATTTAGACAGCTACCCATGGGGTCCCTGTTTAGGCCCCCCAAATAGTACGGCCCCCCGCCAAAAGCGGATCCCAAAAGAGATCCTAATTTAGACAGCTACCCATATGGAATGTGTTTTGGACCCTACGAAAAGTAGGTTCTGGTAGGTCATGGTACGGACACTTTCTCTCAACGATGTGCAAGCTGGCCTTCGGATCCACCCAAGGCCATAAGCAAACCATTAAGGGGTTTAGGGCTTAGGGTTTGGGGTTTAGTGGTCTAGGGTCTTTGGGTTTAGAGGTTTAGGGTTTAGGATTTACGACTTTAGGGCTTGAGGCCGCCACCGTAGACCCTCCACCAACTTCAGGCCGTAGACCCTTGACACCGCATACCCACAGAGTCGGCGGCGACAATGATGACTTCCCGAAGGATTAGGGTTGAGGCGACAGCTCTACGCTTATAACCCTAAACCCTAAAACCCTAAACCCTAAGCCCTAAAACCCTAAAGCCCTAAAACCCTAAACCCTAAGCCCTAAAGCTAAAGGCTTGTCTGCTCATTCAACCGTTTGAAGCTCAAGAGTCGGATAGAGGGTTTAGGGTTTAGGTATCCGGCTCTAGATCCTGAATTTAGGGGCAAAGCCACAGATTTGCAGAGGAAGTGCACGTCGAATGGCTACATTGCGCCCAAATAGTTTCCACGGACACCAAGACAATGCAAACTAAGAAAAAGAACCAAAACCCTAAGACCTAAAACCCTAAAGTCCTGAACCCTAACCGAGGAGATTCCTAAGCCCCGAAGTTTCCCAAACTGCTTTCCGCACCTCTCCAGGATTTGTGTGGCCACATTTTTTGCGCAACTTCTCCTCACAGTCTCTCCCCCGAAGCTTGGGCCCTGCATGCTGTGGCCTATGGTTGACGTTCATCATAGAGACCCTTAGAGGGGGTAGGGGAGGGGGGGGGCTTAATACTAAGGCCTATTTAAGGAAGTATATAGTCCCCTACCCCCCTCTGAACTACCCCCCTAGGGGTCCCTATGAGTTCAGGTTGCGTTGTCGCTGCCACGTGAGAACATTTCGGCTTAGTGTCGACTTCCAGACTTTAGGCTGCCAGATGACAATGGAACTCAGCCTCTGTCCGTGCTGGAAAGACCTTTTGTAATCTTAAGCTCAATGTTTCAGGTTTTAGTTGCAGGGTTTTTTTAGATGCAGGGAGTTTAGGGTTTAGGGTTTCGGACTTAGGGCTCGGGGGTTTGGGTCGGCCAATCCAGTTGAGGAAGCGGGATATCGACGCGAGCTTAACTTGCTATGTTCCCGGAGAGCACAATGCCCAAACTCCAAACCCTAAACACGAATACCCTTACAGAAGGGACGACATCCAGCAACGGAGGTGTATGATTTAACACTTGACGGTGCGGTTGAATATTGCGACCTTTGAACTGAGCATAACGCTTTACTGCGCGGGAAGCTTCAGCTTCGAACATGTCGTCCAGTGCAAGACCTGAAACACCGATGATACGTTTTAGGGTATAGGGTTTAGGGTTTGAAAAACCCATAATGATGACAGCACTAACAATCCAGTTCTTGTGTTCTTGCAGTGATTGAAGGTGCTGCAGGGTACCTGTAGTCAAAGGTGTAGGAACCCAAAACCCTCATATTTATTGGGCTCTGTGGGCGTTGCCCGAAACCCTAAACCCAAAGCCCTAAACCCTTTTTTTTGAGCAGGGACTGCAATGCACTAAACCCTTAAACCCCTAAACCCTAAACCACCGGGGTCTCGCACCCAAAAGCTTCTGCAGACTCGTCCTTCTGGCGCTCCCACAGGAACTTGAACACTGGGCTGCCTCTCCTCTAGGACCCGTAGGGTTTGTTAGGGTTTAGGGCTTTAGGGTTTAGGGTTTTAGGGTTTAGGGTTTAGGGGTTAGGGTTTAGGGTCTAGGATTTAGGGTTTTAGGGTTAAGGGTGTTCTACTTGGGTGGGTTAGTTGCGGGCCTCAAGCCTCAATGGGAAACAAAGACGCAAGGAAGAGGTACTGTCAAACAGCCTTGTTAACGAGATGCTTACGATAAAGTCGCTTGGCCGCTATGGCCACTGAAGAATAAAGCCTCAGAGTTGCGGGTTTGCGGCATGTACGGGGTGGGGATCCTTCGGGGTCAGGGTTATGCAAGGGTTTAGGCTTTAGGGTGTTTGGTGTGTAGCGCCCGGCTTGAGGTTTTTAAGGGCTCGCAGGGTTTTCAATTTCTCGCGCGGCTACGGGCAAAAATCCTGGGTGCCGAGACCCTAAACACTCTCATCGAATTCCCCTTGTTTTTCTCACTGCAACTTGCAGGTAAGGAACAGGGCGCAAGGATAAGACTCAAGGGCAAAAGACTAATCCAACATCAGCTGGAAATTTTGCATCATCAGCTGAAAGGAACTGGTATGGAAGGAGTTTGGAAGGGCCTCGAACACCAAGCAAAGGAAGAATAAACTTGCCAAGCCCACAAGATTCAGTTCATGTAGAGGGTTTATTCCCCAAAATCAGGGTCCACATACACACTCTTAAGGAGCATCTAGGCACTCATGTAGTGCTTGCTCCAGCATTCAGCGTACAGTATCCGGCATTTGTGCTGATTGAGCTTTCGGTCTGACGGTTGCTTTGGGAATCTTGCCCTAAAGCCTCAATTGAGGTGGATGGGGTAGGCTCGTTAGCTCATCCTGTAGTGTGTCCACACTACCATTGGTTTCAGCCAATGGTGATTCAAGCACAGGCATTTTCTGGGTTGTAGTTTTGGGGTCCTGAAAAGTATTCTTGAATAGGTACCTCTATAGAAACCATAAGGGAAATTTTAAAGTTTCCCAAATTGCCACCTGGTTTTTTACTCCTGTAAGGAGTTCTGATGGAACCTAAGAGCTGGGATAGTGATCCCAAGCCTGTCCAGGTGGTCCAATAGCTCCCTAAAAAAATAGCCCTCAATTAGGGGGTTCCTGAATCGTGGGTCTACACCACAAGGGCATAGACCCATTAAACCCAACATATAACTCGTTAACTAGGTTCCCCAGCAGCCCCTAAATAATAAGGGTACCCTTTTCTCCTACTATTTGGTTTGATGGAGGGAACCCCGAAAAGAAAGGGGGCAAAAGGGTATATTATACTACTGGGGAACCTAGTCCCTAAACCCTAAACCCTCGTCAAACCACAAAATCATAGCTCTTTAAAATCGGCCTCCCGCCGATCAAGTTGGAGCTGAAAGCTGCGCTGCAAACTTGCCCGGGCTCTCCTCTGGCAGCTGTAGCAGGCAACCCCGGGGAGGAGCGGGGTGCTCTGTTCAAGGAAAGAACAGGTGGGGAGTTTAGGGTCTATTAGGGGTTCTATAAGGCTTCTATACGGTTTATATCCTATCACGATAACTACCCATCTGAAAATGTTCTAGTTTCAGAGTGGGCTCCCTGGATTATGGGTCTGTCTCTAAACCCTAAATACCTTAAATTACACTGTCACACCGTCGGCGGATTACTACCTGCTGCCGTATTTCAAGGATCCCTGGACTAAGCCGCTTCCTCGCCAGGGTTTGGAGTGTAGGGCCTAGGGTCCACCAATTTCAATTTTCTGTTGTATGTATGTCTGTATGTCTGTATGTCTGTATGTCTGGATGTATGTATGTATGTATGCATGGATGTATGTATGTATGTATGCATGGTATTTTAACTTTAAGCTAAAGCTAATTCAGCATCGAAAACTTCATGTCGGTTTGAAAGGAATGCTGCGGAATGCCATCTGACAGATTCCAATCTCACCGACAGACAGCCTGCATATTCCTTGAGCCACAGTCCTTTTCAGGGTTTGGGGCATTCGGACTGTACGGAGTAAGTGCATCTTAGGGTTTAGAGCTTAGGGGCTCTAAGAATCCGAACCGGCTTGGGCTGTCAGCGCAAAGTTGAGTGCGCACGACCGTGAGTACCCGGCGGGAACTGCGTAAACCGGATGTACATTCAGGTCGGGCCCTAGCCCTGTTTGAGATCCGACACCCTTAACCGTTTAAGGTTAAGGTCTAGGGTTCAGGGTTTAGCAATCATGGAGCAGTCGGCTGAAGCATAGTCCACCAATCCAGACCGTCCCCATGACTCTGAAGTCGGACGAGAAGAGATTAGATTAGGGTTTAAGGGCTTTTGTGGTCTTAGGGTTTATGCTTCGGGTTTGGGGCTGCAGAATTACGGCTCGAACCCTGAATTGTCCGAAAAAAGACAACTCCAAGGATGACGTGGTCCTTTCTCCTGGTAGGAGACGAAATCGTGCGTGTGCAGCAGTGCAAGGATGGGGTCCATGTCCTGGCAACAAAACTCGGAGGATGGAACCTAGGAGATATGGCATGGGCTACCTACATATATTATGCTACGACATGGAGGTGGGGTTTCATTAAGTGAAAGACTGTTTTGCATTTTGCTGACTGACTAAGCTATGCCCTAACCCTAAATCCTACAACCCAAAACCTAGAACTCGGGATCCTCGAAGCACAACAGCCAGACATCTTCGCCCCTGAGATGCTCAGGGCCTACCTTCACCTACCAGAACCTTCTTTTTTAGGAGAGTCCCTGTACATTCCGTATTAGGATTCATAATAAGAACCTACAGAGAATAGGCTGTAGTAGTAGTACTAGTAGTAGTAGTCGTCGTCGTAGTAGTAGCAGTAATAGTAGGGTTTAGGGTTTGTGCGGCAAGGAGAGATACAGAAACATCTTTGTGATTGCTCATGGCGGCAAAGCTCCAAACCTCCAACCTCCCCAGCTCCAGCACTTCAATCGGCCCTGAACCGCAAACGCAGTAAAGCCTTCACCGCCACGAAGTCGGCGTCCATGTACCTTTCTGCGTCGACATGCATCGAGAATAGAGCTCAGCACCGAGGGTGTGCTTTAAGGTTCTACATTTGTAGAACCTACCCTTGTAGGGTTCCTGATTATGATTTCGTATAAACTGTAGTTCATTAAGAGGTATTGGGGCTGTCCGGAGCCCCGCAAGGCTCCAAAGACTAAACGACCTGAGGCAAAAATGGCAGGCGAGAGGCAGGCCCCCGTGATGGTAGAGGAGAGCGTATCGGATGAGGTCCGACTTCGGCGCTGGAGCTGGCATCCTCCCAGAGACTCTAAGCTGCCAATTTAGGCAATATTCCTTGAATCATCGGGGGGATTCTAAGTGCGACTTAACTGTACGAACTCGTGTTATTTGTAAAACCCTACACCCCCTGAACCATTATGATTATGGTTACAGGAATATTCCGTAAGTTATCCTAGCGACCCGCGGACTACTGCTCAGTCATCCTCGGGGGCTTCAAGAATAGGACTTTCCTAGCCATGGAGGAATATGGGAGTTTCCGAAAATTAGGGTACGTCCTTACAATAGGGATCCCATGATTCAGGGTACTATATCAGGGTCCCCTATTTTCGGAAACCCCCATATTTCTTAATGGATAGTGGGCCCTCGCAGCCTCGATTGGCTCCTAGATAAGTTGGGATTCAGGGGCTTGAGGGCTTGGAGTTTAGGGTTTTAGGCTTTCGGGTTCTAGGGTTTACAATTTAGGGTTTAGGGATTTATGGCTGAGCCGGGGTGTCGTTTGGATGATTTCTGCATGGCATTTCCATCGTAGATTACACGAGGGCTGAGAGTTTGCAACCCTAAACCCTATGTCAATTCGCCCCGCTGCCCTTGTGAAAATCTTAACGCTCGGCTCGGAGTTTCTTTGTTCTCTTGCGAGAACGGGGTGGTTCGGGTGTGTGGAATGGGGGTTTGAGGGGGGGATGGCTTCCAAAGAAGGGGTTCTCTATTCTTCAATAGCCAGGCCCAACCAAGTTAAAACTTTCTGAAGTAGACAAAACATATAAGGCCAGCAAGTTTAAAGTTCCCCCATTGGCTATCTAAGTTAATGCCTGCAGGCTTGAGGGCTTGGGAACCCTCTCATCAGGACGTCTCAAACAAATCAGACAGGTAGGGAGGGAAACCCTAAACCCCAGCATCCCAAACTTGTGAAATCGCTAAACCCTGAACCCCAACCCCAACCCTAAACCCTAAACCCTAAACGCTGAACCCCAACCCCTAGACCGTGGCTTCTAGCAAAACCCTCGAGCTCACCAGCTTAAACAGGGCATTTTATCAGGAAGGCCGGGATTTGGGGGGGGGGGGTATATAATCTAAGTCTCACGGTTTAGGGTTTATGGTTTAGGGTTCTTGGTACTTGCGGTATGTCCGTACAGGTACGACAAGGGGATATTCAGACCTCTAGCGTATACTCCAAAACCCTATGCCCTACCCCAAACCCTTTACAGCAGGCCTCGTGCACAGCAGCCCGGTCCCCAGCACACTCGCNNCACTCGCTCACTGTAAGGCGAGCATCAAACCCTAAACCCTAAACCGCCTCAACGTCTATTCTTGCTCCTCACCCCCCAAAGCCTGGGATCAACACTTTTCCACCTTGATAGTACAATTTGGGGTTGAGAAGGTCGGGGCGTAGGTTGAGGAGGTAGCGCCTCGAGTTATTTTAGGGTTTAGGGTGTTTTTCAGGGTTGGGGGATAGGGGGGGGATTAAAAATGTTAAGCCGATACGACAACTTCAAACTCGCTGTGGCCTGAAGTACTCCTCTGGCAGGTCAGGTATCCACTTTTTGACGTTCCTGGACAGTGCCGGTTTTGGTGGGCTTGCACTACGCTTTCGGATTTAGGGGGCACGCAGACAACACAACTTGACGTATCTGACAAGAACAAGATCACAAGACTACTATACATGTAGATTCATCGGTTACGGGGGAACCAGCTCCAGAACCTTAAATAAGGACCTCACCACGAAAAAACGGAGTCATGACACTGATGTGTGAGGCTAATCAAATCGCAGTCACTATCGTACTTGAAAGCTCTGCTCTGGGTCCCTTCTCCTCCTTCAACATGAGCATATAAAGGCTAAGATCACCAACGGTCTCAAGAGTCCCTACATGACACCGTGTCCACTGAGACCAAGCCGCTGGTCATTGATGAGGACGGGCTCCTGCAAGAGCAGAAGAGCAACGACGCGTCTCCGCCAGGCGAAAAGCACTTCGGCAATTAGTTTCGGGCTCTGGTGCTGAAATTTCGCATGGCAAGAAAGATTGCCTTCGGCTCCCATGAATGTAGCCACGGGAAAATCAAAAATCAGCACCGAGGCAAATGCAGTCGCGAGATCGAAAGGCCTCACAACCTGGAGTAAAGCAACCGAAACGGAATTGTTCGAACGCTCCACAAGGACAGGATCAGCATATAGTACCTGCGACAAGCAGAGAGACTGTGCACCTGAAGCCCTAACCCTTTTGTAGGGGCCTAAATAATTACCTATACTATTTTGGAGGCTCCTTCGTATGATACGAGTACAATATACACTAAAACCATATTCTAAGTATTTAGGCCCCTAAATTAACCTCAGGTGGCCTGACACAAGCCATGGGTGTGTCGGCGCCATGACTCCACATTCAGCATCTTGAACACGGGAGGTCCTGCTGTAGTTTGGGCTCAGGGTTGAGTTCGGGTCCAGAGTTTCGGCCAAACTAGAATTTTGCCTGTCTTATTTCGCAAGGGCCAGGCCGCAAAGCAGGGTGTGTATGGTCGGTTAAGATCCTTCACCTCACCGGGGTACAGTTTAGCATTTGCGGTTCAGGGTTTTAACGTCGCATTTCGGGGTTTGTAGTGCAGTGCAAGGAAAACTGAACAAGTTAGAGTTGTGGACTAAAGATTTAGGAACTTTCAATGTGGAATGCTTGACATGCTAAAGGCCCAAAGGCTTATGCACGCAACCCGCATGTAGGTCTTAGTTAGTTTGGAAGAGTCCTGCGTAGCATCATTCAGGGCAGTATACGATGCACTATATCGGTCATCGGCAGTTATACACCCCCTGCAGATGTAGATAAGTGAACCTTTCTGCAAGTCCCTTCGTTTCGACTCTGTCTGCGTGCTACGGTAGGATACCATGTTTGGGCAATCCGAGAGTAGAAGATCTTTTTGAGGAACTGGTTGCCGGCTGACTCAAGGTCCATGTACCTCGTAAATGCATACTCACAAAAGTGAACCTACAAAATTGTTATCCCAAACTTTAGTACCAAGTTTTCTTCAGGGTTTATCTACATAGGTCCTCCCTCAGGGTTCTTTCAAGGGGTTCGTCACAATGTCCTCGTACAGAAAACACCAGGTCTGGGACCTTCTCACCAAAGGCCGAACTTGAGGCTCTACCTTCATACGATCTTTCATAAGTATTTCTTACTAGTGAGGTGTGTTATCCAGTTGTGCTCGGGTTCAGAAATGTTCAGACTCACAGAGGGCACTTAGTGACTTAGTGCTCTAGGTTGACTTGGTCATCAAGGCCTCTAGTGGGAACATAGTTTGTGGTTTCAGGTAAGTCGTCTCAGTGGCAGTACTGCCTCTGGTGGCAGCCAGCCCGACAAACCCCGAACTCAGGCACAATGCCATCAGCTGTAGTTTACAGTTCATTCTTCATTCCTCTTAGCCCCAATCCGAGCAAGTGAGAGCGTCCGTGCTGACGCGGTCCTTTCTCCGGGTACTCCCACAAGGTGAAGATGCGGCAAGCCTCTTTGCCTGTCAGAAGCAAAACAAAGCCAATGTGTTGCAAGCATTGCCGTCGTTCAGTCTTCATGAGACCTGATCTTGCTATCGTTATTTCCAACAACATCATCGAAACGAAAACCAATCAGAATCTATCTCAAACAAGATCAGTTACAATTCAGAAGCTTGAGGAGAGAACCAAGAACAACAACCAACAGCACGCAGAAACGACGACGACGACAACGCTGTTGACGACGATGGCAACAACACCAACAACAGCAGCAACCGGCATAGCCAACAACAGTGTTCATAATAATTCAGCTGCTCCGGTCGTATCGGGGGTTGTTGGAAGAAGAATAATTCCAGAAGTGCCCTGGGGTATACTGTGCTGTCGACAAGAGAAACAGAGGCAACTCTTTGCAATAAGCACCACCCAGCGAGCCCAGTACCCCTCAAAGAAGGAATATGAGTATGAGCAAACCGGAAGATGCGGAATTTCTAAAATCAACATGTCTCTGTCTCTCTCGCTCTCTCTCTCTCTCTCTCTCTCGCTCTCTCTCTCACTCTGTATTTAAATACACACATTCATACATACATACAGACAGACTGACAGACAGACAGACAGACAGCCAGCCAGACAGACAGACAGACAGACAGACAGACCGACAAACAGACATACACACATACACACGCAAAGAGAGAGAGAGATATATATATATATATATCTTCGTATTACCATATAAGGTGTATGGTAGTTGATTTCAGAGGTGCTGGGCGCTCTGGGTACTTATTCCCACTACAGCATGTTCTGGGAAATATCGCGGCTTAAATATTGAGCTATGATTGGAATGACGACCCCTAGGAACAGCGTTACCGAATTATTCAGGCGACTATATCGCAGCTTGAAAAATGCGGGCCATGGCTTCGACCCTGTTTGTTCCGTTTGGGCTTCAGTGTTTTTTGGATTTTAGGGCTTCGGGATCTGGAGTTCTAGGATTTTGAGATTGAAGGTTGTGGGGCTCTTACAGAGTTTCAGGCCTTTGGAATTTGAGGTTTAGAGATTTATGGCTTTAGGCTTTTTGGGGAGGCTTGGCACGATGATTTGGATCTTTGGGTCCAGCACTCCCAAGACTTCGGCATGACTGTGAGGGGTGGTCTGAGTTTATCCGCCAACACATCTTCCGAAGCCCCCGAAGTATTTTTCGAAATCTTGGACTTTCTCCCTTATTACTTCCTTCGGCGCCATCAAGCCACGACCCACAGAACAACCTCAAGACCCCGAGCTTTTTCGCAAGAGTAACTCTATAAATTACGGTTTCATTTTAAGATTTTAGGTCCCCAATCTTGTCCGGCATCTTTTTAAAAAGACCTTAGCTGGGACCCAATATCGAAAACTACCCACAAAGGACTCGACTGCTGCTTATTGCCTAGCTCGACCCACAACATGTCATGACTGCACCCTACACCCTAATACAGTGCTCATGACTGCTTCGCGAGACTGACCACTTCGCGGCTCCAGGCACCCTAAACCCTAAACCCCAAATCCTAATCTCCGGGACCTGGGATCCTCGACCTTAAAAGCCCTAAATCAACTATCTATCTAAGACTCCATAGCCTTAAACCCTTAAACCCCTTCAGCCCTTCACCCAGAACTCCATACCCGCACATCCTGAACCTTAAGCCTTAAACCCTTTCGTCTCGCCCCTAAACCCTAAACCCTAAACCCCTCGCCCCTAAACCCTAATCTCTAATCTTGGCCCCCTGGCCCGGGTAGTCTGCCGGCAGTTTTGGAAGGGCGCGGGGCCCCGCACGCTTGCAAGGAAGGCCGTCCTGCGTAAGGCTATATACGGTTTCGGGTTTTAGGGTTTAGGGTTTAGGGTTTAGGGTTTAGGGTTTTTTAGGGCGTGAGGCTTATAGCAAGGCTCAAGGATTTAGAGTTTAGGGAGTTAGGGGTTAGGGGTTTGGGGTTTGGAGTGTATAGGGCCCCGTATAGGGCTCTGAGTTTAGGGATTTAGGGTTTGGGCGAATCGGGATTAGGGTTTGGACTCTCGCAACGCGGGCAAACGTCCATGTGCTTGCCCCAGTGAGAGACCTTTGACAAACTTGCGAATCTCCATGCATCCGCGTTCCGCATCCTGAAGCTCGGCGAACAGGAGGTCGGAGCCGCAGCTCTTCCTGCAGAAAGAGTGGCTCTGCCAGCTGCCTGCGCCTGTGGCATTGGCAAGGAGAACGGTGATGGTCCTCGGCTTCCGCACGCATCTTCCGAGTGGCGGCTGCCGTAGCCGGGTCCACGATGAATGGGCATCACGCTGTTGCTCACGCCCCCACCCCTCGGCTTCTGCAGTGGCGGCTGCGTTTCGGCAGCATGCTAACGGATCCAGCCAACTGAAGCCGATATTAGCGCAGTCTGTCGCTGCACATTTAAGCAGCGCAGATGCACCCGCAGTGTCATCAACGGCATCCATATTCAGGAGAGCGCTGTGCTTTGGGTGGAGAGCCTGTCTGAAGCCTTCTAGACCCCACTGCCATGTGGTCCTTAAGCCTTAATGTAGGAACCTGGTTAAGCAACCCTGGCCCTAGAACCCCAAAAGAATATAGGATCCATATAAAGAACCCCAAATAAAAACCCAGGGTTTCTTAATCAGGTTCCTACTTTATTCTGTACCTTATTAAACTACCAGAACCTACTTTTTTGTAGGTTCTTATTATACACCTTAATATAGAATTTATAGGGACCCTACAAAAAAGTAGGTTTTGGTAGCTTAAGGTAAGGTTCTCGAGGTCCCAGAACCCAAGCTGCGAAAAGGCAGACACCGAGGGGCCGAAGATCCACGGCGCTTAGCCCTGATTCGGCTTGAGGATGTCTACGGTCAGGGCTGAGGGCTGAGGGTATCGGATGGGGTCACTGAGCGTTAGGGTTGGGGTTTAGGGTTTAGGGTTTAGGGTTTGGGGTTTGGGGTTTAGGGTTTAGGGTTTAGGGTTTAGGGTTTAGGTAAACTGAAACACAACCGCAAGCTATCACAACCTACGTTTCACTTTAGCTACCATAACCAACTAGTCATTGATCTTAACCCTCATGCACACCATTTCTGAACCCGGCCGAAACAAAGCTCCAGGTAAGATTCGTAGGCATATGTTGGAGCCCTTCTCAAAGGCACCCTTTGCCTTTGTCCAAAAGCATCCGATTGCGTGAAAACAAGAGGCTGCCCAGCAGGGTTGTCTGGGTCCGGAATCTGCATGTTTGCGATTTTTGGGGCAATCATGTCAGCTTGATTTGCCGAGGCATTGAAGGCGTCCACGTCTGCGGCCGCTGCTGCTAGGGAATCAGGCTGCTGCCCACCTTGCAAACTCTAAACCCTAAAGAATCGTTAAAGAAGTCCCTTGCTCGCACTGCGAATTTTGTCTACCCAAAATGCGGGTGAGGCTGTTGGCACCCGGCAAAAGAGACAAGAGAGGTGGAGTAGATCAAAAACGGCAGATCCAGTGACCTGATGGACTTCGTGCTTGCTTGAGCCGTAGCCATTAAGCCCCCTCAACCCCAATGAAAGAAAGTATATGGTCTAGCTGATATGGGGTCTTTATTAATTAGAACAGGGTTTTGGTGTATAGCATGCCCTAAACATAACGTGAAGCCCTCAGGAATACTAAAGTCTACCGCTTACTCAGGCTTCTAAAGGTCGAGGAATCCCCAGATCTGGGCCCCGTTTGTGATTCGCGACTTTTTTTTACACCGGCTTGACTGGAGCTCGCCACCCTAAACCCTAAACCCGGTGCAACCCCACAGTCTTGGGAAGGCTTCGGCATCGCGGCTTCAAGGCATCGGGCTCTGCACACGAGTTTTTCCGCAAGATCAGTACTGTGTTGGGCCTTCATGTTACCTACTCTTGGGGGTTAAGGTAGTATTTAGGAGGTAGGTTCGAGGTTCCAAGTGCGCATCCGCAGGAAAAATCGGGCCTTGGGACACAACCCCAAGACGACGGTTACAGCAAGGCCCAGTAAAAGCTGTTTGCCTCGGTTTGAACCGGGTCCACTCGATCGCTAAGCATTCCCAATATCAACCCTACAACTGCGCTAGTTGTAGCAGGGTATCGAGAGCAGATATAATGTTTGAAGCAGGCAAGACACCTATATGCAAGAAACACACCCTAAAACCCTAAACCTAAACCCCTAAACCCTAAACCCCTAAACCCCTAAACCCCTAAACCCTACACCGTAAACCGGCTCTCTACGGTTGCCCCAGCCAGGTCCTTGAAGGTGTGGCGAACCGTCTTCCTGATCCGTCAGTGTCTCGACCATATGCCCTACCTAGCCATAACCCCCCAGGTACCTACTATATAGGGTACTAGAGCCCCCAGTAGGGCCCTATATAGTAGGTACCTGGGAGGTTAGGGCTAGAACATCCACCAACCTGCCACTTCCAGAAACCAAGCTGACAAACCTTAGGCTCAAAGCAATCAACACACACTTCCCAAAATAAAGAAACCTACCTTGGATCCGACCAAAACCCGGAAGCCCAAACATACCTTGAATCGTTGGAAGATCTCGCGGGTTACAAGCGCAATGCGATGTGGAGGCGGGACAAGGGAATCTGGCAGCCGTGGTGTTGGAACACGGACATGGCGTGTTGGGGCTAAGGGTTTAGGAGGGTCTGGGGGTTTTGGCATAATTGGGCCTACTTGTAAGTGTTGATGCTGGCAGGGTCTTAGCAGAAGGCTGCAGTGTGACGACGAACAAGCTTGCAGTGTTCGCTCTCGTGTCATAAACACAAGACTGGGTTTCGCGCGCAACTCGGCTCAGGATTTAGGGTTGGGGGACTTTGGGGGGTGGGAGACCGGAGCGATGCCATCCAGACACCGATGGAACCCTCGGTTCATAAGCCATTGAGTCAAGGGGTCCACAACCCAAGACCCTCTTTTATCAAGACACCGAAGCCGTAAACCCCCAACCTCCAGACCTTAAATAAAACCACCGAGCAAAGCTTTCGAAACCCTCAACCATATCTATCTTAAGGCCTCAACCCCAAGACCGAACACCCCCGAACAAGGCTTCGAAACCCGAAAGCCTACATATCTTAAGCCCTAAACCCTAAACCCCCAAGACCCTAAACCCTAACCTAAAGCCCTAAACCCTAAGATCCCAAGACCTTACACCCCCGAAGAAGGCTCTCCAGGCTGTGACGCGCCAGGCTGCATGAAAGGGTTCTGCTTGTGGAACTGCGAAGCCCCTGCACTCTCCTCAGTGCGGCTCTGATATGGGTACCTATAGTCTCCATTGTAGTTCCTTTTTGGGGTTACCTTATAGGATCCTTAATATAATATTGGTTAAACCAAAAAAGGAACTACAATGGAGACTATAGGTAGTTCTCTAAACTAGTAACTAGGGTCCGTTTTAGGGTCCTTGTTATAAGGGTGCCGTAGTATACTGGGGACCTAACAAGGGAACCTAATTTAGAGAACTACCCATATAGGGACGTGAATGGTTAGAATAGGGTTTTGGGGCTCATTACACCATACATAAGGAACCCCCTGAAATACTATAGGTAATTCTTAAGGCCCCCTACATTAAGGCTTTGTTTTGGGTCAGGGTTCAGGGTTCAGGGTTCAGGGTTCAGGGGTTTAGGGGTTTGGGGTTTAGGGTCCAAGGCGTCGTAACCCCTTATTTAAGTAACCGGAGCCCTAAAACCCTAAACCCTAAACCCTAAAACCCAAACCCTAAACCCTAAAACCCTACACCCTAAACCCTAAAACCCGAATCCCTAAACCCAATGTTCAGGGTTTAAGTTTTTAGAAGTTGCTGTTTGAGCGAGCCTTTTCCGGTCTGCAAAGAGGTAGGAAGCTGCTGTCTGCAGGGCTCTGGGAGAGATCGTTACCAGGGTTTAAGGTTTGAGGTTTAGTGTTTGAGGTGTAGGGGTTTAGGGTTTAAGGTTTAGGTGTAGGGGTTTAGGGTTTCAGGTTTCGTGTTTGAGGTGTAGGGGTTTAGGGTTTCAGATCTTGTGTGTTGAGGCGTAGGGTGCAGGGGTTTAGGGTGTGAGTTTTAGTGTTTGAGTGGTTGAGGTGCAGGGTTTAGGGTTCGTGCGGCCAGGACTGGCAGGCTTGCCACCTGCGGTTTAGGGTTTAGGGTTTAGGGTTTAGGGTTTAGGGCAGGGGCTTAAGGGTCCGGGCCGAGATGATCCACAAGGGTCCTATAATCGGTTTAAGGATGCATCTACCTACATATTTCATACATAAGCCTTATAGAAGTATCGATATAAGACCCCATCCACTAAGGATTAAGCTTTGAAGCATAATGTCAAGCCTGACAGGCTTTGAGCTCCTTCGTACTGGGGCCTCAAAACAAAACATGTAGGGTTTAGGGTTTTCGGGGACTGTCACAACTGGAAACCCTACAAAACCTTCTGGGGTGGCTGGCTCAGAGAACCATTTTCTTACGAGAACCCTGAACCCTAAACCACTAAATCCCCAGAGCCTTAAGTTAAGGAACAAGAATCCTAAGCACCGAAGGCCGTCAACCTGAAAATTTCTTATCTGCTCGCAGCATCCGACGGAAGAGGCTCCTTCGACAAGAAGCTCGACAGGTACCTCAGGGTTCGGGGTCCCTTTTGCAACAGGCCTCGTTGTCCAGCAGCCCGGTCTAGCCACACACACACACACACGCACACACGCACACACACACACACACACACTAACCGTCAGCCAGGAGAGCATGCGAACTGACACCTCTGAAGACACAAAAGACATCTGAACCCTTACAGTAAACCTACATGATATTCCTTGGGATAGATAAACAGATGAATGGATAGACTTGCTCCCCCAATAAGCCAGGGAAATGAAGGTTAAACTTTCGGATTACTACTAAACTATAAGAACCCAAAAGTTTAAAGGTTGGGTACTGAGGAACTAGAGTAGATAGATGAAGAACCGTACGTGAGGCTGGGCCAGGCAGCAGTTTGCCAATCAGCGTGCTGTCGTTGAAGAGCTGCGAGCAATCCAGTTCCTCCGGTCTGAAGAAATGTAGGGCCCTTAGTAATTAGAATAGGGTTTGGGAGTGGGTTATACTATAGTTAAAATAAGGAATCCCCAAAATAGTATACGTGATCAAAAAGGCTTCTATATTACAGCCCTGAAAGCCCAAATACCTACATAGCAGGGTACTGGGCTATGCGAAGAACACCCAGGCCTTCCAAAATCCCTTAAAAAGGGAATCTACCTTAAAGTATACTGGGGATCCTACTACCATGTAGGGTATATTCCTTAATATTTTAATCGATTGATTATGGCATGCTGGGGTATGGGAACAACATCTGCCATGAGGGTTAAGTTCGCCATGGCTGGGCATAGCGAACAGGATGGAAGCTTTACCTGGACCTCATGAGACCTATCTTTTTGGGACTCCCAATCATAAGTTCTTTATATACGTCCTTAAAGAGACTGAATGAGGAGCAGGGTGCAGGGTATAGGCGTCTAAGCAGAGAGAAGAGGACATCGGGGAAAAGGGCATGAAGTGGATAAAGGGATTCGAGTGCGTACTCTGGTGTAATCTGGGGCTTCGGATTCTTAGGCGCTGGGCGTTTAACAGGTTTAGGAAGTTTAGGAGTTGAGGGAGTTAGGGCAAGGATTTATGTTTGGGCAGGTTCGGTCCTTAGCTTCTCAAAGTAGACGTTTTTCGGATTGAGAGTGTAACAAAGTACTTAGTAGCAAGCCCCATGGCTCGGCGATTGTACAGTCCTTATGTACAGACTGCAACGAGCTGAGACTACTGATACCTCGCGCCCACAAGATACCTTACACGTGCATCTTGTGCATAGAGAAGGGCCGGACACAGGGTAATTTCACCCCGAAGCCCTTAAACATAAGCCCTAGACTCAAAGCCCCATGATGCACTCCAAGTCTCGATGGGATGGCTACTGGAGGCTTCCTTTTCGCAACTCCAAGCCCCTGCTTATATATCTTCCTCTCGGAACGCTTTGGGCGGCTGTGATTTTTCGAGGTTCGGCCCGCGAGGTTGTGTCTAAGGGTTTTGGGTTTAGGGTTACCTCTTCTCTACATTCCCTTGAAGACAGACACAATGCCATGCAAAGGGAGCACTTTGGATGCTTGCCAATTCCCTTGTGGTCATCGTGGGCTCTCACACACCAAAAAAAGCTCTCACGACACAAGTCTCATACAACGGGTGTTCGTTGCGCGCAAGACATGTTCAGACCCTATCTTGGATAAACAACCCTTAACCCTTATACCCTAAACCATCAAAGCGTTCCTGCATGTTCGTGCCGTGCCCTTGGAGGTGGTACAGCATACGTTCCGTCGGCCTGCCGCCATGCAGTGTTCGATGCGGTATGGAGTTTGAAAGGGCTTAAGGTTTAGAGTTTAGAGTTTAGCCCAAACCCTAAACACTTCAAGCCTACAGCCGTAATTTCTACAGCCTGGCACCCCAAACGCAGGGGTGAAGGCTGGCCGGCATTCCGTAGTACCAGCTACTGGTAAAGCCTGTCGAGTTTTGGTTGTAGGGTTCAAAGTTTTCGAGTTTCAGGGTACATCTTGGTGTTCCTTCGGAATGCAAGAAACATCATGAAACATTGAAAAGCACACCTACAAGCTGTAGGGCCGAAGCCCTAGGCAAAGACCCTCACAGCCTACGCCGCATTGCGGGGTACAGTCGAGAGAACAATGGGTTTGGGGTTTAGGGTTCGTGATGTGAATGCCGTCTATACGCCGGAACCCATCTGGAAAACGATCTTTTCTCGTGGTCGAATAAACACGACTACTTAACACCCTTATGCATACAATATTACGAGTTCAAGTTGGGCACAATGCCACATACTTGACGCATAGATCTTAAGCAAAATACCCCAAACCGAAAACGTCCAAGATCCTCATAGGATCCCCTTAAGTTGTGCACCGGTATGCAAAGGGAACTATGGTTAAGCTCTGGGTGCTACAGGGATTATAGTACCTACCTACTCTACTACCAAGTGAGTGATATACGGGCCTTCATCAAATCCGAACCCCGCACTTGGTCCTAAACCCTATAAATCCTGAACCCTGAGCCACAACTCCTCAAACCTATAGTACCCCAAGAACGTTAAAACTTACCTACTCTACTAAGCCTAAACCCTAAACCCTAAACCGTGGCTCCTAAACCCTAAACCGTGGCTCCTAAACCCTAAACCGTGGCTCCTAAACCCTAAACTGTGGCTCCTGAACCCTAAACCGTGGCTCCTGAACCCTAAACCGTGGCTCCTGAACCCTAAACCGTGGCTCCTAAACCCTAAACCGTGGCTCCTAAACC